ATTTTTTGTGACTTTCTCCTTGGTGTTTCCTTAAGCTGCAATGAACCGGGAAGGGGGGGGGCGTGTATGTGGGAGGGTTTTAATTGATGTGCTGGAGGAAGGTTCTAGGATGTACCAGTCGTTGGGATTGCGCATGCGTCTGTGTTTCCCGCCTGCATCAACGGCCTACACATTCCATCTTTGGCCTGTCTCTTTGAAGTTATCTCACACCTGACATTTGAAGGACTTATGATTGGACTGGAGCTTTGATCCTAAGGGGGGGGGGGAACGGGCTTTCCTATATATCAATTGCTTTCGCGCCATATTAATCAGACTTTGCTTCACTACTGCTCGCTTACCATTTATAATTAGTAAAAGTACTTTGGATTTCCAACCCATGGAGTCTCTTAGTTTTCTTTCCTAATTATGGAGTGGAGTGGGGCGTGACATGTTCATGCTTTCTTAAATGTATAATGTTATAAATTATTTTCAAATGATCAAAACAGGAAATTTAAACAAAGGCAATTCCTGCAGACATTTGTAAGATTCCATTTCAAATTACTTTTACAATATAATCCTATATGGGTTTACTCAAAAATAAATCTCATTAGTGTCCTCTCCCAGAAAAAATAAACACTCTTTTAGTTTTGCCATCAAACTCAACCACAGATATATATTCTCTTAATGTTTGGACTATAAATCCTCTAGAAATTCTCCTAAAAAAATAATATTTTATTTATGTGTGTGTACATACATACACACACATCAATTAATATATATTTAAAAAACCCACTCAACTCATTTTAATTTTAGGAAACTGCAATGAATACACACACACACACATCGATATATAATTTAATTTTAGCTTGCACAACCACTTCTCCATAAAATGGAGCATATTTCTGAGACAAAAAAACCTGCACTTTATGATGTTGTAGCATCTTGGTAAATAAATTAAGGATTAGACTTAGATGTTGTTTGATATGATATTTTATGACCTTTATTCCAAATTGCAATTTCAACCATACTTTGGGTGGTAGTCTGAATGGGGTGAATTACTGTCTGAGCTCATTTCTAAAATAATTTCTAATTTATTAGGCTCTGATTGGTAGAAATGTTTATACATTTGATTGATAGAAACATTTATACTTTTAATATGTCACATGCTTTTTTTTAACTAATTTAAAAAATATTCATATTACATAGGAGAGAAGTAGAGCTGGAGGTACAGTGTCTGTTAATAAACAAATCACTGCCCTAAGAATAGGAATCAATATTAATAATTTACAAGTTCAAAATGTATTGTAACCAGATCAATTAGTCAATATAAATATTCTTGAACTTCCTATTTTATAAATATCCACTTTACATTTTTTCTGATAATTTTTATTGTGATTTTTGTATCATAGGAGCAATCTAGAGAGTTCTCTCACTGGATTATAGCTTTAGAATAATAAAGCCGATATATTGTTACATATATAAGGAATGATTGTATTAGTTGTGAATTTATTTACTTGTCCTAGTTCTGATCATATTTTTTTCTTCTAATTTCTCCTATTTTTCTGAAGTGTGTCCTTTGGCATATAACTGAAAGGTCAATCTACACTGACTGAGTTTTTAATCTATTATAACAGTGACCATACTGGATAAATTCACATGCCATGCACTTTAAATGTGGTTAGTGACATATATTAAAACCATATATTAAAAATATCACTGAACAGCATACAGCCACTTTGCAACCAGCCACTCTGCAAACAGCTGCTTCCAGCTATGGTAGGGCCATTTGTCTCACAAGTTGCATGAATCATCAAAAGTTGTATGGATCAGCACCATCTTAATGGTGCTAAAGGAAAGGTTTTTCCAAAGTGAAGGGGCTGGAATGGGACAACTTGCCACAATCCACTTGCCCTGGCCAATTTGCTCTGGCTCTCTCACCATGATTAACTTGTCCTGGTCAACTTTCCCCACAGGGCAACTTGCTGTGGGACAATTCAACACAGGATAACTAAAAAGAGGGACAAGTAGAATTGCAGCTCGAGAACTTCTAATTGCACAAAGTTCAAACCTAAATCAAGACAAAGTCCACTGCAATTCACTTCTCCCTCTCCAGTTATCAAGCATTGAATTGTCCTATGGCAAATTATCCTGTCAGTCAAGGTGAGTCAGACCAGGATAAGATGACTGGGGAGAGTTGACTGGGGAAAGTCCTCACTGTGAGTTGTCCTACACCCTAAAGGGGCTGCCTCTGGGTTTCTTCCCTTCAATATCTTGGGGCATGGGAAAATCCAGTGGTGAAATTCATTTTTTTTTACTACCAGTTCTATGGGCATGGCTTTGTGGGCATGGTGTGGCTTGGTGGGTGTTGCTTGGTGGGCATGGCAGGGGAAGGATATTGCAAAATCTCCATTCCCACCCCACTTCAGGGGAAGGATACTGCAAAATCTCCATTCCCACCCCACTTCAGGGGAAGGATACTGCAAAATCTCTATTCCCACCCCATTCTGGGGCCAGTAAGAGGTGACATTTGCCGGTTCTCCAAACTACTCAAAATTTCCGCTACTAATTCTCCAGAACCTGTGAGAACTTGCTGGATTTCACCCTTGGGAAAATCCTCAGCATATCCTATAAGTCAGATGAGCAGGTTCTACTTAGAGCAAACAGTCCTGAAGGCAGCAAGGATCTGGGTCATGAACACAGGTTGGGCCTACAAGCTAACTGGCAACCAATGCAGTTCACAGAGTCATCATCTCATCGTGACTTTGGGCAATGTACAAATCCTGAGACTGAGCATCTGCTCTTTTAGGGGAAATACCATCTATGCACAGCTGAATTTGCAGCTAAGATAGAACCAGAGAACTTCTGGACAAGTGGCAATCTTATCTTGTTGAGATTTATTCTAAGTCTAATCTTTTCTATCCAGTTCTTTACAGCTTCTAAACATTGGACCAAGTCTTGCATCATCTGTCTCCTGCTCTGGAGACTTATAGTGACCCTCATCTGAAACCAATAGATGAGTCCTCCTAACAGCTTAATGACAGTTTAATATTTAAAATATTAATTCAACCATTAGTATATGTGCACAAAAATACACAGAAACTAGAAACAAAAATAGTTTCTAGTTAGGAAAGAACCTTGTATAGTAATATACCACAGAATATATGTAGGAACTAATGCAGGAATGGGAGATAACATCATTAAATGTTTGGGTGAAATGTGATGACTGACAGTCTGTTGCTGTGCTTGTGTGTGACAACGCTGAACCAAAAAGTAGCTAGCCTCATTTCAGTCCAGTATGCTGAGCAAATCCAGCCAATGTAACTGGTTCTGTTTTTATGCATAAAATTGGGTTAACAGAGAATATCTCGGTGACTAATTGCTGTAATCAACGTGAAGGGTTATGATCCAGTTTCTTCACAAGGTTATCTGTAGCTTCAGGTTGTGGCCAAGCAGATAAAGCTGCTATCTGAACAACCTTGGCGTTTTTGTGGGTTAGTGATGGCGGCGGCCAGCTGCACTGCATTGAGAATCGTTGAACCTCGGACACATTTCCACGGGTTTCCAAGCACGCTTTCATCAACTTCTCCTTTTTAATAGCCTCCAAGGCAAGAGACTCGAGATTCCGCCCGGTCTTTCCCGCCGGCAATTTCGAAGGTTTGCCCGTTTTACTTCGCGCTTTTATCTCGCTTCCGTTGTTTCTTTTCTCTCCAAGGTAGGGAAGTCTGCAGTGCAGGAGGGGCTCATTGCATCGTATCGGTTTCGGGGTCGCATTTAGCATCTTAGGGAGCTGTCGCCGTGCAGCTTTTTTTTCTTTATTTTTCTCTCTCCGTACCCCCTTCTCCCCTAAATGGATGTCTTCCACGCTTGAGAAGCCGGAGCGGTTAGCAGGCAGGGTATGTTTTGCATGCTGCCTGCCTGGCGGCGGGACTCGAGATTGCAGATGCTTCCTGCTCGGGCAGGCGTGTTTTACACCCGGCGATAAACGGTCTTAACTCTCTCCTGCCCCTCTCTGGGACTCTTTCCGACTGCACTCCGGAGAACCGGGGACGTGCTACCGCTCTCAAGTCTTTTGGGACCCCCCTCCCCCCCCTCGCTGGTCACACGCCAGTCCAAGAGCGAGCCGTCCTAGGCCGGAGAAAGACGCATTCTCGCGTTACAAGTAATAGAGCCGTTTACTACCACCACCACCCCACCTTTTCCCTCCCGTCTTTTGCAGCGTTTTCGGCATTGGTCGCTCCCGCTGACGGTGGGTAGTTTGTAGACGCTCCCTTAGCTCCGGCGAGGCTGTTTTGTTGGGGCTTCCCCCCTCCCTCCCTCGCGCCGCAGTCAGAAGAGCGAGGCGGTTGGGAGGGAACACCACGTCCGGCAGGCTTTCTCAGGGGTTTCGCTGCGGCAGCTTGGCTGAGCTCGGCCCTCAAGCGCCGCCGCCGCCGCCAGCGAGCGCCGCTCCTGCACTGCTCCATGTCCGGCCTCCCCGCCACTTCGACGGGGGGGCCAAGTCCCGGCCTCCGCTTAGCGAGGGAAAGAGAGTGCAAGATGGAACGAGGAGGAGGGGTGGGGCAAAGGGGGGGTGGGGTGGGGAGTCCGCCTCGCCAGCGACGCCAGGAAAGCTGGTAAGAAGCTTTTGCTCTCTCTTGCTCTCTCTCCGCGCGCCGTTTTCCGAGCAGGAGCAAGCAGCATCCACGAGCTCCAGCAAGAGGAGGAGGAGCCTTTCCCGCCGGCGGCGGAGCTCGCGCCGTGTGAGGGCCCACGGTCTACCGTGGTGTTGCTTGGCGCCTGTGGGGAGGGAGCTGCTGACTCCTCCCTCCTTCCCTCCCTCCCGGTTCTCGTGCCGCCGCTGCTCTCCACCCCCCACCCCCCAGTTGTGCGGTCTGCTGGCGTGCTGGGTCGGTCGGTAGCAATGGAAAACCCAGCAGTTTCTTTTTCCTCGCCCGCATTGAAGAGCGAGCGCCTTTCCTGTCGGAAAAGCCCCGGAATAGGTAGGTTTACTTCTTTCGCTCGCCTGCGTGCCCGCCCGCATGCCTGCATGCATGATTTGCCTGCCGGGTGGGAAGCGGCGTTGCCTTCTTCCTTCCTTCTTTCTTTTCTTCTTTCTTCTTTTCTCCGTTTACCTCGCTCTTCTCGCAGAAGCGGGCCGACGACCTGCTTTGGCTTTTTGCGGGACACTTCGGCAAAGTCGTCTCGCCCCTTGTTTTTTTTTTTTTTTGGTTTTTTTTGACGGGACCGCTGGAGGCGAGGCGCTGTGGCGGCTTCTCGTTCGCCCGACCCTTTTCATCACCTGCTGCTTTTGTCTTTCTCCTCCGGTGAGCAAAGGAAGGACCTCGGTGCCTGTGATTATTTTTTTCTATCTGATGGTGTGATTGAGGCAAGGCAGAGGCGTTATTTTTCCCTTTGCATGAAAGTGTCCCCCCCCCCTTCCCTTGGCCATAGATACAGAGCAGGTTGCCACACCTGCTTTCCCCCCCTTCCCTCTCATTTTTCGCGATTTTTTTTTAAAGGTTGTGATGCTTCTTCCCCGCTTTGGAGAGAGGTGGCTGATTCTCCGTGGTAATAACCATCATTGCTGCCTGGTCTCCTTTGCTTGCTAAAGTCGCTGCTTGCCTTGTTTAAGAGGATCCAGGAACCAATGTGACAGTCTTGCCGGTTGAGTCTTAGTTGTTGAATGGATCAGGAGGCGCCTCTGTGCCCATTACTTGCAGACGACCTTTAGTGTCATGTTAGTGCTGTTTTTCTTCCAGCCTGTATTGTTGCAGACAGCTGTTATTTATTCCCTCTGAAAGAAAAGGAGCTTTTCTCTCTGCTCCCTATCCCATTAGCAATGATTTCCCACCTCATCCCCATTTTTAGATGATAACAGCCCCCTTTTAAGGGATTAGCTTAGGATGCTGTGGATAGCCTTGAGACTAAAGACAACAAACAACAACAAAACCACTTGTTGGCCTTCTCTTTATGTACCCCATTTTTCTTTGGCCTTGTTCTGTGCTGCTTTGCTGAGATAGTTCAGGTCATATAGTATTTTCCCTTCCTGGTAATAGTAGTAGGTAGGGTATTGAGTTTGGGGACGAAAGTATTAGTATTGAAAATGTGAGCAAAAATGTTATAACCGGTATTTGTGCTGTTGACTGATCAGTGTAGTCTCATGGCTAATATTACTGTGGGGAGTAGCATATTAGGAAAATGCAGCAATACAGCAATGTTGACGTGCCAATGTTGCATTTACATTTTATGATATTTCAATCAATATTACAGTTAGTACAGACCAGGAAATAAAAGCATTAAAAGATAATAGTAAAAAATAAAAATCAAAGACAGGCATAATATATTGTGATTGGTTGTGGATTAGGAGTGGTCAATTAAAGTTTGCCTAATTTTACATACAGCACAGCAGAATGTGACTACATTCAAATAAACTATTTCATAATGATCTGATAACCGTATATAAAATATAAAAAAGACCAGTGTTTCCTGGATATTTTATGAGGTAAAGTGTTATAAATTGAGTCTAGGAGTCCTTATAGAACATGCAGTATAACTATAGTTTCATTTTATTACTTAGCCTGTCAGGCTTGATAATGTGACTGGTACCACACAAAAGAGTTTTCATGATGTGGTTAATACTTGTTATGCTAAAAATGGGGAAGATAGAATCTGAAATCTTTTGATTAAAATTCCGAGGCCTGGTCTAGCATGCTGCCATTTTTACATTATTAATACAAATAATACATTTGTACTGAGTTGAAAAAAGATCTAATCTGCAGAGAAATTAGATCTCATTTAGCAAAAATAGCAATAAAACAATGTAGGAAGGGCAAATGTACTTACAATAATCAGGTATAAGATGCTATTATCATGGGCAAAGATTGCCAAAGAAGATTTATTGTGGTTTTATAAGAAATGATCTACAGCAGATGGGTCCAATCTTTTGGCTTGCTTTGGCCTCTCTGAGCGATGAGGAATTGTCTATATAAAGTATATACCATAGTTTATATATATAAATAATAAACTTCATTTATTTGTGGGGGAGTCTTGTAGGGTCTCATTACTAACTTGTCCAGGGGTCACATTTGGCACAGGGGCTGCAAGTTCAACGTGCCTGAAAGGTTAAGTTGTACCATTGAAATCAGAAAGACCTGTAAGTATTGATAACCCATTTTTATAGAATATGCATTTCAACTACATCCCAAAGTTGTTCCGAAGTCATGTTTATAGCATATTCAAAAATGGTTAATATTATTTTTTGTCAACATGTTACAGTTGGTATTACCAAAGTTATTTGATCAATTGTCCATTTTGGAATAGCTCATTGATTCAGGCTGGTTTTTCTAGTCCTCAGAAACTGGCTGGGAATTATGGACCCAGCATATTTGAGATTAAAAAAAATCCTTGAATATACAATTTCCCACTAATATCTGCAGGAGTCATAATCACCTGTGAGAAGTAGTAGTACATATAGTATGGTCCTGTCGAACTTAAATAACAATGGTTCTTAATATGTAAGTATATATAGAAATGTGATGGATTTGTCTCTTAAAATATTTTTTAAAGTAACAAATGTATAGAAAATTTATATTTTATAAGCACTCATTATCACACTTGCTTAAATTAGATTCATTTTATGCTACAAGTCATAACCTCGAGTTATGACCACAACTGAGCCCAAAATTTCTGTTGCTAAGCAAGACTTTTCTCTCATTTTATGACATTCTTGCCACAATTATGTCAGTCACTGCAGTTGTTCAGTTAATAACATTGCAATTAAGTGAATTTGACTTCCCCATTGACTTTGCTTATCCAAGGTCAAAAAATGTTATCACATGGCCCAAGGACACTGCAACCATCATAAATATGAGTCAGTTGCCAAGTGTCTGATTTTGATCACGTGACCATGGGGATGCTGCAACGGTTGTAAGTGTGAAAAATGCTTATTGGTAATTTTTTTGAGTGCTGTTGTAACTTTGAGCAGTCACTAAACAAACAATTGTAAATTGTTTACCAAGCATCTCAAAAATATTCTGAAGACAGAACAAACCTGTTGTGCTGCCATGGTTCAAAATATATATCTAAATTCCAAAGTTATTTTGATTCATTTGACCTCACATTAAACTTCACGATACTATAAAGATTATGAATGAAAGTTGTAAAAAAAGGCCGTTCTTTTGCTCATGTTTGATGTGGGAAGCTTCTTTAGATATGGCAAAAATGTGGGAGAATTGTCATTCCCCATGTCTTCCTGTTAAGAGTCTACTATGTTCCTTCCCATTGCAGTGAGTAGGAGGAATATGGGTGTGTAGTTTTGTTTCTTTGACTGATGGTGGTTTTATAGATACTTGCATAGATATTTGTTTTTATGGAATTGCTCTTTTAACTTTGTGAAGCTGCCCAGAGTTTGTTGATTTAAGAACATAGATGACTTGAGACATTGTTCTATCTAAAATCTGACCATTATTATGTCAGTCAAGTCTTTGATCAATCAATGTCTTAGCTCGTAACCTGGAGATTAAAAATTTAGGGTAGGATATTCTGCAGGGTTTGAAAAGAAAGAACCAAGATAGAATGTCTTCTGTGGGAAGGATTCAAGATAGAGAGATATGGTATATCCTACAGGCAATGAAATCCCATAATGCTAGAGCATGGATCTGTAGAAAGAAATATCG